GTCACAGAAGCACTCCTTCAGTTACCTAATGTTTCATTCACATCGCATGCAGGATGGGGAGCCATCCCTGCAGATATGGCTACCAATACCTATGAGTCCCTGAAAATTTTCTTTGCCTGTGAGTTCAATCTCTCCAACTGTTGGATATGTGCCCAGACTCCACACCATTCAGCGGGATTGCCCTGGAGAGTAGTTTCCCAAAATTGGTCAGACTATTGTCAAAGGTGGATGGTTACAGCAGTAGCACCTCTGACAATTTGAGTTTGCGATCTAACTACTGTGGAAGCTCCTTATGGCCTACACAATGGCTCTTGGAATTCCCACTATAGTAGCACTCTTAAGCCCCAGCCGATTCATTTACGTTCTCCACCCGCTGGTCTCATATGTTATTAGCAAGCCAGTAGAAGTAATCATACCTGGTTTGCAAGCATTAGTAAGTGTAGATTTTATATTGGTCATGGTATAAGTCTCACTGTTCCTTTACTAAATGCCACCGGTTGGCAAACTGGCACTGCATTCTTTGCCCTTTCCCCACAAGCCACCCTACGGAACTTACAAGGTAACAATGGAAAGGCTAGTTATGGTAAAGCATTCTGGGTTTGTGGTAATAGTGCCTATAAATGGCTCCCTCATGGTTGGCATGGTAGCTGTTACAAAGGCTATCTTGCTCCTCCCCTCCGTGTTCTCACCAAGGTTCCCTCAGGTCACCCTTGGTACTATCAGTCCCTGAGAGCTACCATTGAACCCATTGGTAAAGGAGACAGGTTTGGGATGATATCCCTCCCTTCCTATGGGGTGGGACGGCTAACCCAACTCTACAGAAGACTGTCTAAATTTCTCACTCAGTTTGCCAATGATACCCTGGCCATAGAGAAACGGATAAGTGCTAAGCTGTACCAGCTTCGACTGCTGGCTTTGCAGAACCTCCAGGCCCTAGATTATGTGTTAGCTTCACGGGGTGGAGTATGTGCCCTTATTGGAGAAGAATGTTGTACCTATGTCCCGGAGTTTTCACAGAATATTAACAAGCATATCTTGTCAGCCGAACAGGCCTTGAACCAGTGGAAGGCCCAGGAAGGGGAACCCACTATTTTGGATTCCCTTTCGGGTTGGATACCTGGTTTAGGAGAACTAGGGGGACTAGGGGGAAGCATTGTTCGCATCTTGCTCACAGGTGTGGTGAGATGTTTTGTCCTTTTCCTTTTGCTCATTTGCTGTAAAGTGCTCATATGTAAGATTTGTACGTCCCATTCCCCAAAAGTTCCCTTATACCCTCTCATTGATAATCCTGATTGCATGGAGCTTAATCGCATTTTGTCTTTAGAGTATGAGAAAACTCTGACAAAGGTTTGGTGAGTGTTCTCAAAGGAGGGA